CCCACCCCCAGAACAGTCATAGGGGCATATTATCAACAAGTTTTAGAAAAACTGAAAACTGCATTGCTAACCTCATTCTGGTTCTGGTCATCATGAAATAGAAAACATCAAGAGCAGATGGAAGATATACAAAAAGAATTGTTCAACATTCAACCATTTCAAGAGGGAGCAGATGACCAAAAACTGTTAAGATTGAAGGAAAAAGTCCAAACTACATGAAAGTATTAGTGAAGAACAAGACTCCAGGAATTGAAGTAATACCATTTGAAATGTTTCAACAACCCGATGAAGCACTGGAAGCATTCACTAGCCATTGCCAAGAAATGTGGAAGACAGCTATCTGGCCAACCAACTGATAAAGATGCATATTCATGCCCATTCCAAAGAAAGGTGACCCAACAGAAGGTGGAAACTCTCGAACAATCTCCTTAATTCACACAAAAGCAAAATTTTGCAGAATAGAATTCAAGAATGGTTGCAGCAGTACATCTACAGGGAGCTGTCCAAAATTCAAGTCCGATTCAGAGGAGTATGTGGGAGAAGGAGTATCATTGCTGATGTCAGATGGATTTTCACTGAAAGCAAATACCAGAAAGATGTTTAATTATGGTTTATTAACTATACAACTGTGTGCATCATAAGAAATCATGGATAAGACTGAGAACAATCAGAATTCCAAAATTCTCATGCAGAACGTTCACATGGACCAAGAAGCTGTTGTTTAAGCAGAAAAAGAAATGCTATGGGGTTTAAAATTAGTAATGATGTGCAGCGGGCTCGCATATTTTTATGGTACTAATTCAATCTATATATTGAGCAAATAATCTGAGAAGCTAGATGATATGAAGACAAATGCAGCATCAGAACTTGATGAAGGTCCATTAACAACCTGCCCTGTGTAGATGGAAGAGACTTGCTTGCGGAAAGCAGCTCTTGCTGGTGAAAATTACACTGCAGACTACACTGAGTTGCAAGTCATTGTGCAGAAAACAAAAATCTTTACAACTCGCCCGATAGACAACATTCTGAAAAGTTAAGAAAGAATTGACATGGCCAAGACTTTTGTTGACTTAGCTCCACAGTGTTCATTGCCACACAAGATTTCTTCGAAGTGTTAAAAACCAAAGGTGCCACTGTGAGGACTAAGCTGCATCTGAATGCAGCCCTGCTACTTTCAATAGCCTCATATGCATTTGAAAGTTGGACAACCAGTAAGAAAAACTGCAAGGGGATTGATACATTTAAATTGTGGTGTTGGTGAATAATGACAGTACTATGCACTGCTGGGAGACCAAACCAATCTGTCTTGTGGGAAGTTCAGTCTGGATGCTCCTGAGAAATCTCACATACTTTGCCAGGAGAGACCAGTCCTTGGACAAGAACATCATGCGTAGTAAATTAGAGGGTCAGTACAAATGAAGAAGAGCCTCAACAAGATAGATTAACAGTGTCCGCAATCATGAGCTCCAATGTAACAACAGTTATGAAGCTGGTGCGGGCCAGGCAATGATGTAATTTGTACACAGGGTCAACATGAGTCACTGAATAGCAAAAACCAATATCTTTATACTTCGCGTCTAGTCTGGTATATATATTATAATCATTAGCTGGTACTGCTTGGTAAAGCTTCTATTCACTTGGAGAAACAGTGCCTCCCGCCCTGGACTATAGAGAAACTTCTCATTGCCGTTTCAGTCGATGATGCTGATACAAGGCGACCCTAGAGGCCAGAGTAGAACTGCCCCCTGTGCACTTCTGAGACTGGAACTCATTACACCTTTAAACGTTAATTTTTACCCTCAGTCTCTCATTGTTCTTCAATTCATTGACTGCTGCAATAAACATCCATCCGAATTTGTAATCTTGAAAAAAAAGAATGCAATGGTAAGAAGAAGACCAGGTAAATGACACCAAGGCATTTTCTCCCCATCACAATGCACCTGCTTATTCTTCGATAGGAAGGGCTACTCCAGAATTTCTTCGGGAAACCTTATCCCAACCACCCTGCGGCCCTCATCTTAACCCTTCAGACTTTTTGTTTCCAAAACTCAAAGAACATTTCAAATAAACAGAGTTTTTGAACGATTGAATGATATCTGTAAATTACTCGCCAATAAGATGGTTGAAAAAATCAATAAGCCCAATCTGAGTCCTTCACAAGTCCCAAGGCTGCATGGTTGATGGAGTGTAAAGCGAGGGTAGGTGCCGAGCTCTTTGGGGAAAGGGTGAGGGGGTGACACACCACCTGCAGAAATGGATAGACCTAGAGAGAGGACAGGCTCAGAAAGACAAACTGCCCATTTTGATGTGTTTATTATTATTTGTGGCATTACTGTTTTACTTACCCTCATCTATTTGGCTCGAATTGTGGCTTCATTTTTTGCCTGAAAAATGGCTTTTTAAAATCATTTTTTAAAAAGTATATTACTATTAAAACAATTTATAACAAACACCTTCACTCAGATAACTTATGATTTAAATCTAACATTTTGCTGCACACCTTTTGGCAACAAGATTTATGAGGAAAAGATACCGCGGCTACCTTTAGGAACTGATGATGTACAACAAAAGCAGAGGATTTACAGAGTCGGGGTGACTTCCCCCCCATAGTGGTCGTGGTCTGTTGGTAACTGGCAGACAGTTTTTAGAATAACTCTTGAATGTGTAGAGTCATAGCAAACATCAAAAAGTAGGTTAAGGCCTAACGCTTGAGCCAAGTGCCGACTAATACAGAGAAGCCTTATCAGTCACCACCTCGCCTTCAGCACTTGGGTCAAGTATCAGGATTGCTTGGTGTTGAATAAGAAACTAGGGTGTCAATTTTGTTTTGTTTTGTTTTAATATATTAGTGATTAGAAAATTCCTTTATCTGGGGTGGAAGAGGGTGGGGGAGAGGAGGAATTAGCTTTAAGCAGCAGCCCCTGTATTTTATTAATCAGTGTCTCTCATGTATAAATCTATATTGTAGCATCTCTAGGTTTAAAATTCTGTACAAGTCTGAACACCTTAGAGGCATTCAATAAATACCCAAGAACTGATAATGTAAATGGCAGCATCAGATCGATACGTGGTATTTCCCCATTACTTAGGCATTTTAAAAAGCTAAGTTACTGACTCTTTAAAAAGTATTCATTCTTAAAACTCTCTCATCTTTCAGTAGGAGAAAGAGAAAACAAAGAGGTAGGAATCTCAAATTTGTTCAGCTCATTCGACCTCACACATATCCACACCAGTCAAATGCCTCCTCACCCATTCTGCACACTGAGTAAAACAGACACACAGAGCTTCATGCGGGTGGTGATTTTAATCAGGCACAGACCACCACTGACACAATGACATCCAATCACACAAAGGACATCCGATGCATTCCATCAGTAATATACAGCAGTAAAGTCCATTAACTTTAATTAGGAATATGAAAAATGTTTACCAGAGCCAGTGCTTTTTCATCCTAAAGCAATGAGAACTCCTAAGTGTAAGAGAAGCATTTCAAATGATACAAGTCCCTGTGTTTCATTAGTGGTGGGGGGAAAAAGGGAGGGTGGTTTTAAAGGCAGGAAGAAAAGGTGTAATCGTAAGTCCAAAGTTTAATGAATGTCTAGCTCAGCGGTGCAGTGAATTACTTAATATTGTCAATCACCTCATATGCACGTGAGAGTCGGACCCTGCAGAAGGAAGGCTGGAGAACGATCGAGGATGTGGGCAAAGAACAGGAGCAGCAGCCATCGTCTCCATTTGGAGTGACTAAAGTCGTCTCTCATAGTCTCCTGGGATGTATGATCTACATTCAATTTGGAGGAATGCTTTTGAGACCCACACATTAGTAGTATCTCTAGTATCTGTGTTAAAACAAGATGGTTGCAATTGCTAGGCCAGGGGTCTTTCATTGGCATCTCCAAGTACAGGAATGGGTGTCTAACAGGAGTTCATCGAGATGACAGCACAAGACTAGCCTTCGGTGCATCCTCCATAGGGAAGGGATCACAAAAATGGGATTTTGCCCACATCTGGGGAGAAAAATGGGGCTTGCTACTCCCATTAAGAGTTACAGTCTTGGAAACTCACAGCAGCAGTTCTACCCTGTCCTATAGAGTCACTAAGACTCTATGTAGTGACTTGGGTTTGGTTTTTTGTTTTTGTTTTTCATGATAGGAGATTTGTTTATAGAAGCAAAAAAAAATTGTTGGCAAGGGAATGAGCACCCAATTGCCAATGAATGAATCCTAATAAATGGTTACATCATGGTACTGTCCTGACTGTGAAGAAACCTTCCCAGTTCTAAGGTGTGAACTAGACCTTCGGTGCATTTGGCATAGAAAAACTCCAACAGAGAGACGTTAACAACAACACAAATCAAGGTACAGAACAGTAATCATGTTTGGCGTGACTCGATGTTGTTTTCTGTTTGTCCAGCCTCAGGATGTCTAGAGGTCAGGTTCAAGCTCGGTTGGTGATCCCGTCGCCTCAGTTGTGTGACCCTAGCTTCTTGGTTTTTTGCTTGTTTTTGTTTTTAATCAAGGAGGGACTTGGTGGTTTGTCTAACAAGGAAACAGCTTAAAACAGAAAGCCCCTAAAATGAACACGAGGGGACTTCAAAAAGTTCATGGAAAAATATAATGAAAAGGAAATGGGATTTTTTCATGAGCTTTTTGAAGTTTCTTTATATAATTATGTCAGCTAATAATCCCTAAGAGTTTTGAGGATAAGGAGGATCTTTGTACAATAGCAGTCAGCATGGTAACCACACATACAATAGTTCTAACTGAATATAGAAGCAGCAGTCTGAGATTTATATTCAAGAAGAAAAAATGCTTTATTTTAAGTTAAGGGTCCCTACCTAAATTCATTTTGGTATCAAACAACTGCAATTAGTGGTGGGAAGAGAAGCATCCTTCACTATGGCAGGATGTTAACTTATTTACAAAAACTATACAAAATTCAATTAATTAGGAGATCAACTTATCAAAGGTCCAAGAAATTAATCCTTTTGGAAAAGTATCAAAAGTCTTCAGACCCAGAATGACCATCTTTATTATTTTTGAGTCATGGAGTTTATACCACATCAGAACTTCAACAACAACAACACATTAAATGAAATCCTATACAATGAAACATGCTTTTTTTCTTGATAGCTTGGAATGTAAATAAATGCAAGTTTTTCCTTTTTTATTGAAAACAAACAAAACATTTGAACTAAGTGTTCTATAATATCAAATAGCTGTTAGAATGACATGTCCTCAGGAATTAGACTTGGGCAGTTAGTTCCACATTGCTAAAAATTGCCTTAAAGTCAGTCCCTTTTTTTTTGGTAAGAAAAGTACCCCTCTGCTATTTGAGAGCTCTATGCATTGTAAAGAAAGTTTTATAAGTTTTCATCTGTTTTCCTTTTCAACTAACATATCTACGCCAACAGAAAGCATCTCCCAAGACAATATACATTTTAAAAGTGCAGATAAGCAAAACTAAACTTCTTACATTGTCGACAAATCTAGGAATAATAATTTAATATTCTATTGCAAAATATAGGTAGCCTTAAGAGCAACATGCTTGGTCATCTTCCTGACGCATTTTGGTTTGGTGCCAAAATATTTAGAAGTAAAGAAAATATAATGTGACTCTTCATTAATGGCTTTCAAGATAGTAATTTGCAGATGTAGCTAAGTACTCATCTAACAGATTATCCAGGTTATCCAACTATATTTATTCATGAATTCATAAGACAATAACACACATACGAGTATATAAAAGCAACCCCAAAAACCACAGACATTGTACACCGATGATCAATTTCCCTAATAAGGATTACATGAGAAGTGTCATGGACGGCCCAAAATAAACTTCATATACAAAATGAGAAGACGGGATGTCACTCACACACACCTGAAATTCAGACCCCATCCAGTAGGTAACTAGGCTGGCTTTTTCACGTCGCCCGCCTTCATTAGCGCCTTGATGGCTCGGGCCCTCATCTCTAGTTCCAGCAGCTCCAGCTGCTGCGCGGAAGGCTGGACGTCTTCTGGCGGAGGAACAGGCAAGGTGGCTGCTTTGGGCTCCTCTGGACTAGACTCTGCCAGTCCCAGAATCTCATTCACACTTTTCTCAATGTCTTTCTCCAGGTCATCGATCTGACCCGCTTCACTTTGGACCATCGTTTCTGAGGCGGGAGGAGCCGCTGCTGCTTCTTCGTGGCACGGGCCTTCGATGTCGCTGTCGTAGGCGTCGGCATTGATACTGAGGACATCACTGTCTTCGCCTTTACCTGTAACGAACAGAAAGAGCCGTGTAACCTACATGCCCTAGCCAAGATTCCCTTTCTCTTCATGAATAAAGATCGGCCTTATCCCCACCCCCACCATGGAGTCCCAAACACGTCCATAATCACCAGCCTATCGCCTTTTTCCCTGACTCAACTTTGAAACCAGATCGATTGTAATGCAAGTTTTAATATATTTTTCATTCCAATTTAGTAGAACATGCAAGCAGTGGGAAATTTACTCCATCATATGCTGTTCCATGATCTAGTTTCCTAATTAAAATGTCATAAGGTTTTATATCACAGTGAAGCTTCTGCAGAATAAAATGAAAGCTGATGTTGAAAACCCTTTGGATAGAGTATTGCTTATTATTGGCAGAGCAAAATTGAATTCTGGAAGAAGTTTAAAGTACTTCACATTCTAAACTTTTTTTAAGGAAAAATACCATCAGCAAACTGGACACCATGTGCATTGCAATTATCCTAACTCTTTTCAAACAGTTTGTTCCAAATAAATAAATTAAAAGCGAATGCCTAAGGACATTTTCTAAGATAAAACAAGTTTCATCAAGAGGAATTTAATTAGTAAAGTTAGTACACCACAATTTTTAAAAAATGCATTTGCTATAAAGCTTCTAAAACTGATGAGAAGAACTTGACAGTTGTGGCTCTTCACGGCAGTAACCCTGGGCATCCCTGGAGTCCAGCTGTCCTGGGTAAGTTTAAGCACACCTTTATAGCTCTGATGTGAGGTTTCCAAAGGGTCAGAAAACTTATTTACAAAAAGAAACTGACAGGTGAAAACTTCTGATACTAGAATGGGTAGGAAGGACATAAGTTATTCACGTCCTGGGTTTGATAACAGACAGTTCATTGACCTTGCCTAAACAGGAGCCTCCCATGTTCACGTAATCAAAATTACTCCCTGTTCCAACATTGAAATGGAAAAACAATCAATAAATTATTTTCGTGCACATCAACAAATATTGTAAAAATCATAACTGCAATGATAAATATTTAATGTCAAAGAACATTTAATACAGCTTCTAAAAGCAGCAAGTATTTCCAAATAGAATAAAAATTACAGAAAAATGAATATAGGCTTTGCCTACAGGAATAATGCTTTATATAAATTATTCTAATTTGAGACCAAAATAAATTAAATAAAAGCTAAGTGGCTCAGAGCCTCAAAAGTTAATGTCAGCATCTCTTTCACCTAAAGTCCTGCAGTCCCGGGTTCCAGATGAAAACCTGCAGTCTATTTCAAAGATTTAAAACATAAAATGCTCTTTAAAAAGTGTCACTCCCACCCCGCCCCCAGCTCCAGCTCTAAGTAGTTGCCAGGAGCCCTGGTGGCGCAGCAGCTACTCACTGGGATTGAACTCACCAGCTGCTCCGGGGGAAAGATGGGCTTTCTCCTCCTACAAAGAGTCACCCTCTCAGAACCTCGACTGGGCAGTTCTACCCCGTCCTCCCGGGTCGCTGCGAGGCAGCATCGACTCGATGGCAGTGAGGTTCACTTTTTCACAGAGAATGAACCAAGTACAGACGAATTCAAGGAGGGCCGAGTTCACAGTCTGAAAACCAAGCTACCCAAGTCCTACTCCTTACATCATTCGGATCATCCTTTAAGGTCATTTACATAAGCTTAAGAAGTGACCACAGCGAAAGTTCCTCTGCCCTGAGCATAATAGTAAGACGCTTACTTTGAAGTTATGCTCAATATCCGTTTTTATGACGATTACAAATAATCATGATATGATTCATGGTAAAAAATTCAAAAACAAAAAAGGTGTTTTTTAATGTTTCTATCAATATGTAAACTAGAGGGGTACAGCTTTTACAAAGACCCCAGGGCTTAACTCCAATATTTTAAAAGCCTACAGGGGAAAAAGAAAAAGAAAATATTTTAATGTAAACAAGTTAATATAAGGTTATTAAAATGCATCAAGAACTATAAAAGACAGGTGGATCTAAGGTTAAATAACAAAAATGTGTAATTAAAAATCATTTTAAAATTCCACTTAGAGGGAGCCAGTGGAGGGGCCTGAGGGCTCGGCATCCATGCCAGCTATGTGGACAACAGCCCCTCCCCCCAGAAGAAGCTACTTGAGAGGACGGCAATGAAGCTGCAGTTAGGGGAGAGGGGCATGTCTGATCAGAGCAAATGGGAGCACTTAGGGGGAGGAAGAGAGAGTGGAGCACATCCTAACCCACCAGGCCTGGAGGACGGACATCCCTGCTCTGAACAGCCTGTGGACAGAGTGGACAATAAGGCTGATCCCACCATGAGACATGTCATCCCTTGATGGCCCCGGGCTCTAAGGAGGACAACGCTGGAGACTCAGTGTTGAGACTGGTCCAGACTGAACCTGAGACACCGAGGCAAACCACAAAAAGCGTGCGCCCAAGCAACCGTGGGAGCAGAGCAGAGAGCCCCCAAGGGAGTACAAAGGACAGACTTGGGGGCCAGAGCATGGTACCCCATCGGTCCTGACTGAAGGACACGCCTAGAGATAAAAAATCAGACCTTGATCTATTTACAGGTTTTTCTTTTGCTTAAAATTTTTTTTTTCGTTTAATTAATTTATTCTTCTATAGGTAATTGGTTTCCTTTTTTGTTACCATCGCTGTGCTCTCACTGATTGCCTATCTTGCTATGGCTTGGTTTTTTAATGCATATTAGTATCTCTACAGATCTATCTAGATAAGATAGCCTGGATGAATAGTCTAGAGGAGAAAACAACAGGACCAATAGTTCCGGGGGCCCATGGGAGAGGGGGAGGCGGGGGTAAGGAGGTGGTGCTGACCAACCCAGGGAGAGGGGAGCAACAAGTGATCCAAAAACAGTGGCAAGGAAGGTGCGAGAGGCCTGGTAGGGATTCAGCAAGGGCATTGTAACCGAGAGAAATCACTGAAACCCAAATGAAGGCTGATCATGATAGTGGGACGAGAAGAACGTACAGGGAAATAGAGGAAAGAACTAGGGGACAAAGGGTATGTATAGAGGTTTTAAGACTGGAATGTACATATTTAAATATATTTATATAAAAGAGTGTGGGGAAACAGATCTACCTGCATATATTTATAGGTTTAATATTAAGGCAGCAGATGGACATTGGGCCTCCACTCAAGCACTTACTCATTGCAAGAACACATTGCTCTTTTAAATTGGCATCCCAGGATGCACACCTTCCCAAATCGATTGCTGAAGAAAATTGTGAACATAAGCAAAGGTGGTGAAGAAAGCTGATGGTGCCCAACTACCATAAGACATAGCGTCCGGGGTCTTAAAGGCTTGAAGACATACAAGCGGCCAGCTAGCTGAGAAGCATTAAAGCCCATATGGAAGAAGCACACCAGCCTGTCTGACCACGAGGTGTAGAAGGGACCAGTTATCAGACATCAAAGAACTTAAAATCATATCAGTGGGTGCCCGCTCTACTGACACAATCACTGAAGACAAACATGTGCATAAGCAAATGTGGTGAAGAGAGCCAACGGTGCCTGGCTATCAAAAGATATAGCGTCTGGAGTCTTAAAGGCTTGAAGATAAACAAGAAGCTATCCAGCTGAGAAGCATCAAAGCCCACATGGAAGAAGCACACCAGCCTGTCTGACCACGAGGTGCAGAAGGGACCAGTTATCAGACATCAAAGAACTAAAAATCAGAACAGTGGGTGCCCACCTTCCTGATACGATCACTGAAAACAAAGGTGTGCATAAGCCAAGTATGGTGAAGGAAGTTGATGGTGCCTGGCTATCAAAAGATATAGCATCTGGGGCCTGAAAGGCTAGAAGATAAACAAGCGGCCAACTAGCTCAGAAGCAACAAAGCCCACATGGAAGAAGCACACCAGTATGTGTGACAACGACTGTCGAAGGGATCGGGTGTCAGGCATCAAGGAACAAGAAATTATGTCATTGTAAAGGTGGGTGAGTGCAGAGTGGAGACTCAGAGTCCATCGGTTGGCAACAGAACACCCCCCTGCTGAGGGGTTTTGGGGAGGAGACAAGCTAATCAGGGTGCAGGGTAGCAACGATGAAACATATAACTTTCCTCTAGTTCTTTAATGCTTCCTCCTCCCCAATATCATGATCCCAATTCTGTCTTGCAAATCTGGCTAGACCAGAGGATGTACATTGGTATAGATAGCAACTGGAAACACAGGGTATCCAGGATAGATGACTCCTTCAGGACCAGTGGTGAGAGGGGCGAGGCCTGGAGGGTGAAGGGAATGCGGGGTAGAAGGGGGAAACCAATTACAAGAATCTAAGTATAGCCTCCTCCCGGGGGATGGACAGCAGAGAAGAGGGCGGAGGGAGACATCGAACAGTGTAACTTATGACAAAACTATAATAATTTATGAATTATGAAGGCTTCAGGACGGAGGGGGGAGGGGGGAAATGAGCAAATGATATTTGAGGGCTAAAGTAGAGGGCAAATGTTTTGAGATTGATGAAGGCAACAGGTGTACATGTGTGCCTGACTCAATGGATGGATGTATGGAATGTGATAAGAATTGTACGAGCCCTCAATAAAATAATTTTTAAAAAAAGAATAATGAGGGTAACAAATATACAATTGTACAAATGTGCATTATACAATTGATGTATGTATGGATTGTGATGAGCTGTACAAGCCCCCATTAAAATAACTTAAAAAAATTTAAAAATTAAAAAAATTAAAATTCCACTTAGAAATCACAAAAGACATCATATCAAAAGTAATTCAACTTGCTGGTGTCACCAAAGAGCAAAATAAAGTAACTTTAAGCTATACAGTAAACAAAGAAACAGGATGTAATAATATAGTCCTTCTATGAATCACATATCCACTAAGGCCTCACACTCAAACTCACGGCCTTCGGGTCCACCCTGATTCACAGCCACCCTGACGAACAAAGTGAGACTGTCCCTGTGGTCTCTAGACCGTAACTTGTCTTTCTCTCCGAGAGCTCTGGTCCCTTAAATACTGCCTATCATCAAAGGAACTTCAAAGAATA